TTCTCAAAACATTTTCTCTCCATTTAAACCCCCAACATTAGGCCCTCATTTTTCCCCTCCCTCTCCGCTCCCCCCTCCTTCATGAACCCTTGATAGTTTATAAATTGGTATTTTGTCATATCTTGCCCTGTCCGACGTCTGCCTTCACCCACTTTTCGGTTGTCTGTCCCCCAGGGAGGAGGTCACATATAGTTCCTGGCTGCACTCTTTTTCTCTGGTTATGACAAACCATAAAAAGGATGATCTTACTCAGCTTTCTCTTCCATGCACTTGAAACTCCATCAACAAAATAACATTTGAACGTTATCTTTTTCTGTCTTCCATCAAGCCTCCTATGAGCACATTAACTTGCTCTTGTCTGAGCCCAAAGCAGGGTCAGGTTGAGAATATTTTTATTCCAGATACAGTACGGTGGTATTTAGGGAATCTATGATCCTCTGGAAAATCAAATACTATCTTTTGAGTGTTCCCAGGAGTTCAGGGGTCAGAGAAAAGACTGTGACAAAAAGGATTCAAGAAACTGGATCAGGATGTGACTTTCTAAGGCATTAACGTGGGAGGGCACAATATCCTTGAGAAAACAATATGACATTGTACATTTAATCCAACTAAATGAACTAGGAATGATATTACTAGCAGAAAATATGTGGTTATGCTTGAAGTGTGCATTATAAAAGTCAGAGTTTAAGCACAAGTGACTACATTTTCAATAAGTTCACAAGTATGGTTAGCTCTAAGTTTTCCCTTCAATATTAGTTTTCCACTTGTTTACCCTGTGCTTTCCTGTTTGTATTACCAGAAGCAATAGTTTAAGATTTTAATATGCCTTATAGGTGAAAACACTTAAAACATAGAATTTGTAGACCTATTTCAGTTTTTCTTTCGTTACATGGGAAAAGACTACCTTGCTTATTTAAACAACCAAATACCCAGGTCCAGAAATTGACATTCTATTTCAGAGTTCAGAATGTTTACATTGGAAAACACTACTAATGGTTATGAGCTCAAGAATTCCGTTCCCTGTTGGTTTTTTGCTCATTTGTCTGTCTTTCCTACTCACTGTAAGCAACTTGCACAGAGCTGGCATTATCAGTATTTATTGAATAGATGACTACTGGGCCCTGCTCCAAAGCCACATCACTCGTGAAAATGGTCCCTGGCCATGCAGACAAAGAAGTGGTCATCACAAAGCATCCAGATAATTACTGCGAGTACTAATACAAGCCGGATTCAAAAAGTATGTGGACATTTTCCATTACCCTTTAATTCTATTTATCTACAACTTTTCGAAGTCCCTTCCTATATGTAAAACTTTCTGTTAAGCCCTGGAGAGGTACAGGGTACACCAAAACACAGACAATACCCCCAGTCTATTAAGAGCTGTACTAAAAGAAATATAGTACTGGTGTTTTAGTAAACTCAAAATGCTGGTGGTAAAGTCAGTAGGAATAAACCCACTGCCACTGAGCCACTTCTAACTCACAGAAAGCCTATGGGCAGAGTAGACCTGCTGCACCAGGTTTCCAAGGCTGTAAATAATTACAGAAGCAGGCTGCCTCATCTTTCTCCTGGTGAGTGCTAGTGGGCTTGAACTGCTGACCTCTTGACTAGCAGCCTGACACATAACCCACTGCACTACCAGGGCTTCTGGTATGGTGCTACCTGGTGTATGGCTTACTGTTGAGTATGAAATGAATTAAGGCATTGTTCATAAACACGTATTATTCAGGATTAGGTAAAGACTGAACACCAAAGGAGAATGATGACTTGGTCAGTGATAGAACCATATGTAAAATGCTCCCCGTTTCTTTCAAAACTTAAGAATTCCTTTAGATAACCCACTGAGAGCCCCACCAGATCATGATCCTTGCTTTCAAGGGTTCTCAGTGGAAGACCAACTTCACTGAGAGTTCTTCCATTAAGTTTGCCTGTTTCAGAATAATCTCTCATCTGACCTTTTGAATTAAGAGTTCAAAGAAGTCTGAAACAAGAACAGGAGTTGAGCATTCTAGGACCCCTAATTAATATGAGGGGCTTTCATTGAGTTCCTGCCATTATCTTTCATTCCTTTTGCTATAAGGGACAATTCTGAGAAATGGCTATGTGAGAATGCATGTCTAACAGCTGCTACATTATGAATGACACACTAGAAGACTCTTCTACCTCTAGTTTGGGTTTTGTCATCAATCATGGCACTCACAAGAGAAACCTGTTCTAAACCTAATTTGGGGGGGCAGGAAAACAATGGACCATTATTGGATGATATATGGTAGCAGTAAGAAGGGAACTAAGACAATCAAAAGATGTACTTACCTTTTGATATATCTGATAACTAAAGTAACTTTAAGTAATGTAGAAGAAATTCAGGCACATCTGAACACAAAGTAAAGACAACCTGAACCTAAAGAAATAGGAAAAAATAATACAGTTTTAATAAAAATGCAATTAGATTCCTATGCAATTTAAAGAGGTAAGAAGGGGAGCCATAATCTGAAACCAATGAAGGGATATGTCAGAAATGGTGGGTCAGCCCAACTCATTGTCCCTGAGTCAGCTGTGAACTCTATGGGACACAGAACAGCCCACGGTTTCTAAGGGACGCAGATGTCACACCATTTTCCCTGTAGGGTGGCTTCCATTAAGTTCCAACTGCCGACCTTTAAGTTAGTAGGCCAGTGCTCTACAGTAAATAGTGTTTTTTTAAAAAGTAAGTTTATTCTATGCAGTATTTATATGTAAGCAGGCAACACTGATCTGCACTGTGCATCCTTAGATGTAGAACTAGAATGCTTTTTGGAGTTAGTATTTCCACCAGTGGGTAGGCTACCATCTTTAGATGTTTCCATTTTTCAATGATTGGCAGCTTCCTCTTCAAATACTATTGATCTCAAACAGGTGGGATGAGAATAAAACTTGTAAACGCCTGTGAACTTCCTGGACTAAGGCGTTTATGACTAACCTTCTTATGATCATTATGATTGCAATGCTGTCCTAAAACAGTTCACAGAAGAGATTTCTATTAAGTCTTTTGGTTTTGACACACGTTGTGTGTGTGTGTGTGTGTGAGAGAGAGAGAGAGAGAGAAAGAAACAAGCAGAGAGAGAGAGAGAAAGAAACAAGCAGAGAGAGAGAGAGAGAAAGAAACAAGCAGAGAGTGAGAGAGAGAAAAGCAGAGAGAGAGAGAGAGAGAGAGAGAAGCATGATTGCTCACCCAAACTCAGAGCAAAGAGTTTGACACACCGCCGGGTCCCCGGGCAATCATCTCAGTGCGTTCGCCAAGCCTGGCATTTCTGTCACGTCCCGACGTGCTCCTACAAGGCCTGTTAACACAAGAGCGTGGACTTCAAGCAAGAAAGCCAACCAAACCTCCAGGGCAGCCGGGATGCCCCTCTCCCCTGCCCCGCCTTATCGTGGCCCAGGAGCACCAACGCCGGCGGCGGCGGCTGCAGCGCTCTCGACTTGAGCAAGGGAAAGCAGCAGTGACTTTCCGCTCGCGGACCGAGCCTCCCCGCCCACTGAGGAGCGGGGCATCGTTACACAACCGGCATCGGCCGGTCATTCAAAAATAGCACCTTGCCTCGCCACGCCGCAAACCCGGGCGGGCCAGGATCCCAACCCGGCCTCGGCTCCTGGGCACAAAATGATTTTTGTAAGCTTCATCAAACAGCTCCTCACTCAATCCTCCTCACGTCCGCTACTGCAGCCGGCACTGTTTTCTGTCCCGAGAACCCTGATGAAGTTCGCTGTTTTGCATAAAATCCTCTACCACGAATGCAGAAGACCCAGAAACCAGAGTCTCCTTACGCACACCTACCTGCTCCCACGTCCGGCACGGCTCACCCGGCCACTCGGAGCAGCTTCCCAGAGCGTCTCCCTCCGGCGTTCCCGGAAGTGTGTTCCCAAGGCGCCGCACCGGAGGCTTTTGGGAGTGTAGTCACGTTCTCCCGCAGCACGAGCCGGGAACGCGCTCGGGGACTACGACTCCCAGAATGCATCGGGCCGGTCCGCGGCTACATCCGGCCACCTCCTCCTCCTCCACCTCGGCGCCCTCCGTGCTTCCCGGCTGAGATTCCGTGCAGGTTGGGGACCGCAGTTCTTTAACGAAGCAAAACGGAAAATCTTTTCCAGCTGGGCCCCCAAATAAATGTTTACTATTGAGTACGATTTGTCAGTATACAACTTCTTTAGAATAAAACATTAAATCCGAACTCTTTTCCCACAAAATTATCACCGGGCCGAAAGTGTGTCAGTGCTCAAACTTCGTAATCTGCAGTCCGGTGATCCTGGGCAAGTAGCTTCACTACCCTGTCTGAAGTTTCCGTAAGATGGAGATAGTATTAAGTACACCATAGGCTTGTTTAGAGAAGCGGAACACAGATATTCCAACCAACTTTCCTCTCCCACGCAATTCTGACTGCCCGCACTCTTTCCCCTCCAGGCGTCTAATTGTGAAATCCTATAGAGTGTATATCTGATTAAAAAATAAAAGGGTCATGATGCTCACAACCTGTTATTAAATGATTGCATAGACACACGTGGAGACGAGTAAATGCAGCAAATGTTGATAAGGGGGGAATCTAGAAAAGGATATTGGGACGTTCACTACAACATTGCTTCCATTTCTTAGTAGCTTTGAGTGTTTTCCAAGTTAGAAGTTGGGAAGCACTATCATACTTCTCATCTAGGCAACTATGACTTCCAGCAAATTAACCTGGTTATGTCTTAGGATCTCATCTGTAAAAAATAAAGCATGTACTACATATATACGTGTGTTTGTGTGTAGTGAGAATTAAATCAGTTACAATACATTGAGAAATTTACAAGACTGCCTAAAGATCACAAGGTGTCGAAGGGATCACTGAAGACAAATGGGTGCATAAGCAAATGTGGTGAAGAAGGCTGATGGTACCTGGCTATCAAAAAGTATAGTGTCTGGGGTCTTAAAGGCTTGAAGGCAAACAAGCGGCCATCTAGCTGAGAAGCAACAAAGCCCACAAGGAAGAAGCACACCAGCCTGTGCGATCACGAGGTGTTGAAGGGATCAGGTATCAGGCATCATCAGAACAAAAAATCTTACCATAGTGAATGATGGGGGGAGTGCGGAGTGGAGACCC